GCTCAAAAAAAAAAAAAAAAAAAATTTTTTTTTAAAAAATATTTTATCCTTCATTGTTTTCAAAGAGCGGGCGAGTGGGAAATGTTTCGTTTTCCCTTCGGTTTCAATGTTCTCCAAACTCCCTTCCCCCTCGTACCCTGCCAGATCGATGAGTTCTATGTGGGTCCGGTGCCTCCGAAGCAGGTGACATTTGCCAAGCTGAATGATAACATCCGTGAAAACTTCCTGAGGGACATGTGCAAGAAGTATGGGGAGGTGGAGGAGGTGGAGATTTTGTACAACCCCAAGACCAAGAAGCACTTGGGCATTGCCAAAGTGGTCTTTGCCACGGTCAGGGGAGCCAAGGAGGCCGTTCAGCACTTGCATAGCACTTCGGTCATGGGTAATATCATCCACGTGGAGCTGGACACCAAAGGTGAGTGGAGGCCCGTTCAGGACAGCTACCGCCGAGGAGCCCCAAGACCTGTCAGTGTGACCCCCTTCTCTCCCAGGGCCCGTCTTGCAGTGTTGGGGAGCCCCTCAGTTTTCCTTGGGTACCCCCCTACAACCTTATTTTTCTTTTGCCCCCCTCTTGAGGGTAGAGTCACGTGGAGCTAAATGTGTTGTCTGTTGCTAGGAGACGGAACTGTAATTTACCAAATGTGCCGGTCCTTGGCCACTGCACCCCTAGGGACCACCTGGAGGTTTCCCCACTGCTGACACCCCCGTGGGCCCCTCTCGGAGCCCTGGTGGCCTGGGTTTAGACAGTCCCCAGTGTTGCTGTGTTAGGAGAGGAGACAGGGTTTGTTTATTAGGGTGAGGGGGGGCGCTGAGGAAGAGCCACGGAGCCGCCTTCAAATTTGCAGAGTAGGTCTCTCCACCAAAAAAGTCCTCCTAAGGGGCTGGGGAGTGCCCCTCCCCCTCCTGCCGCCCCCTCCCCCTGGAAGTGGGAACCAATCTGGGCCCGGAGTGTGGTTTCATTGATAATGTTCCCGATAGAGCTGGGCGGGCTGCTCTGGGTGTTCAAGGGTTGACACTGTGTCTTCCCTCCTCTCTCTTAAAGAGACAGTATCACCTCCCAGGCAGCGGAATCCCGCTCTGCGCTCGCTCTGAGCCTCTGAGCTGCTGGGAGAGCTGGGCTGGGAAAGCCATACCTCCCATTCTCAGGGTCCTGGGAGGCTTCTCCTCCGTGCTGGCTGGGGGGCTCCGGACCTCCAGGGCATCCCCTAAAGTGGCCTGTGGCCACTTGGAGTTCCTGTAGAATATAGAAGAAAGTGCCAGGTGCTCTAAGGTCCAACCAGAGGTGACTGGGCAGACACTGTTGGGGTCTTTCCCACTGCCCGACTCCCCCCCCCTTGGGGGGGTCCCGGGGAACCCTGCCCGGGAAGGTTTAGGTGGGTAACTTCCAGGGGTTCTGTGAGCATGGAATTTAAGGGGCAACTGGGGCATACCAAACCTAAGACCTGAAAAATCTAAATCTTCTTTTTTACCTTAAATACTGAAAACATGTCAACTGAGTCTCTAAGTCTTTGCTGGGGCGTGTGGAAGGAGGCTGCTCCTGGTTGGGCACAGTTACCCTACAAACTCTTGCCAAACCTGTCCCAGGTCTGAGTCTCCTCAGGGCACAGGCCACAGCCCCCTTCACCTCCCCTCCTTTTGTCTCTGTCGAGGGAGACCCCTTGGGCGGTGGTAGGCTTATCTTAAGGAGCAGTCAGCCCTCACCAAAATTGCAAAAAAAAAAAAAAAGGCCCTTAGAGACTGCCACTAAGTTTGTATTTCAAGAAAGAGACCGGTAAAGAGTAGCTCAAGGAATGTGTCTCCTTTGCATATGTAAGCAGCTGCCTCAGAGGGCTCTATAAATATCGATAATCTGGCCCCCTGTTCTGTCCAGGCCTCTCTCAACTGGAGGGGGGCTGGGGATGGGGAGGAGCTAGGGTGGAGGTTTATCCTACTGGGGACTGGGGACTGGGAGGAGGCCTGTGGAGTTCACAGTAAGTCAGTCCTAGAGTGCTTTTACAAACTCTGTCAGTCACCTGAGAGGGTTCACAACAAACTGTCACTTCTGTGTCACTGGGTCTCCTTTTCACTTGCTACTGGACCCTGGCTGTTGGATGGGAAGGCAGAAGGATGGGGATTACCTGACTGTGGCAATGGCTGGCATGGCCCAGGTGACAGGAAGGGGCTTTGTGGTGGGGTGGCATGTCTGTATTTGGGGGAGTCCCAGTGTCATGAGACATAAACTCTTGAATCTCAGGATGAGAGAATCATAGTTTAGCCGCTTCATTGAACAGACTGTGCCTCCCGAATGAGGTACAGAGAGAGAAGCGGGAACTTGGTCAGGGTCACTCAGCTTCCCGAGGTGTGGGGTCCCAGGTACAAAGGGACCCACAAGGATGCCCACCTGTGGGGGTTGCCCCATCCTGGAGCCTCACTGAGGCCTCCCTCCCTTGCCTTTTCCACAGGGGAAACCCGTATGCGGTTCTACGAGCTGTTGGTCACGGGCCGATACACACCCCAAACCCTGCCAGTGGGTGAGCTGGACGCTGTCTCTCCAATCGTGAATGAGACCCTGCAGGTGGGTGTGTGACTGTCAGGCCTTCCCCCACCTCCCCACCCCATCACCAGGTCCCCAGTGTGCCCCCCACCCCACTTCACCAGCTCCAGCATGGGACACCAGGACCCAGGAGGGAAAGGAGCCTGGCTGTGCTGACCACAGCTTCCAGTGGGATGCAGGGGAGGGTCCTAAAAGCCCTGTCTCCTGAAGTGCCCCTCTGGCTTGGCCCCCCACCCTCTTCCTGAACTCACTGGGATTCCCACAGATCAGAGTCCATGTGCTTTCCACGCTGATCCTGAAACATTGCTGTGTTCAGGATCCTGTTGTCTGGCGTCCCATGGACCCCTCCGTTCCACCCACCCCACCCCCACCAACAAAAGCCTGGTTCAGGTCTCTCCTTCCAGAGCAAGAATGACTCCTCCCTCCTTCCCCAACCACTGCCCTGCAGAACACTCGCCTGGACCACCCTCTCACAAGTGGAACGCTCTCAGGAATAGCTTTTCCCAAGTGAAGAGTCTTTGCTTACTCGCTGATCAGCTGGGTTGTCTATCAGGCACTTTACTATGTTATACTATTTAAAGCCTAAAATATCGAGAGGCTGGGGGAACAAGGTGGCCACCCCCTCACTTCCAAAAGCATAATTGGACTCAGCTACCTGTGCCTGGAAGGTCTTTGATTTCTGACGGCCTGAGGCAGGAAGGAAATCCCAGTGCAAACCAAGATGTCAGGGTCTTATCTTTACCCTGCTTCAGGGATTAGGAAAAACCCTAAAGGTTCTCTGAGGATAATTGGCTACCCCAAGATTAGAGAAGGTGAGGCCCATCCAGATATTCTTCTTTAATCTCCCCTCCCCTCTCCGTTCACCATGCTGAGTGACCAGTTTGGCTCCGAGCTCCCAGGCAGACGGAGTGAGAGGGGAAAACCGTCCCATTCTAGTGCATGTTTTTCCCCCTAGCAATCTCAGACCTTTCTCCCTCCTCTCTTTCCAGCTGTCAGATGCCCTGAAGCGCCTCAAAGACGGTGGCCTGTCTGCAGGCTGTGGCTCCGGCTCATCCTCTGTCACTCCCAATAGTGGTGGGACACCCTTCTCCCAGGACACAGCTTATTCCAGCTGCCGCTTGGACACACCCAACTCCTACGGCCAGGGCACGCCGCTCACGCCACGCCTGGGCACCCCCTTTTCGCAGGACTCGAGCTACTCCAGCCGCCAGCCCACGCCCTCCTACCTCTTCAGCCAGGACCCCACAACGACCTTCAAGGCTCGGCGCCATGAGAGCAAGTTCACAGATGCCTACAACTGCCGCCACGAGCACCATTATGTCCACAACTCGTCTGCAGTCACTGCGGTGGCGGGGGCCGCAGCCGCCTTCCGGGGCTCAGTGGACCACCCATTCGGGGCGGTTGGCGGCAGTGGGGGCAGCAGCGGGCCCCCATTCAAGGCCCAACCACAGGATTCAGCCACGTTTGCCCACACTCCACCGCCCACCCAAGCAACCCCTGCGCCCGGAGTTGCCTTCAAGTCGGCTTTCTCTCCATATCAGACTCCTGTGCCCCCTTTCCCCCCGCCCCCCGAGGAGCCCACCACCACAGCCCCCTTTGGGGCCCGTGACAGCGGTGAGTTCCGAAGAGCACCTGCGCCTCCACCCCTCCCACCCGCCGAGCCCCTGACAAAGGAGAAGCCTGGCACACCACCGGGACCCCCGCCCCCTGAGGCCAACAGCATAGAGCTAGGTGGTCGGCCAACCTTCGGCTGGAGTCCCGAGCCCTGTGACAGCCCTGGCACGCCTACGCTGGAGTCGTCGCCTGCAGGGCCGGAGAAGCCCCATGACAGCCTGGACTCACGGATCGAGATGCTGCTGAAGGAGCAGCGCACCAAGCTGCCCTTCCTTCGGGAGCAGGACTCAGACACAGAGCTGCAGATGGAGGGCAGCCCCATCTCCTCCTCCTCCTCCCAGCTTTCCCCACTGGCCCCATTTGGCACTAACTCGCAGCCAGGCTTTCGAGGCCCTACACCACCCTCCTCGCGCCCCTCCAGCACTGGCCTGGAGGATATCAGCCCCACGCCACTGCCTGACTCAGATGAGGATGGTGAGCTTGATCTGGGCCTGGGGCCTCGGCCCCCACCTGAGCCAGGTCCGCCAGACCCTACCGGTCTTCTGGGTCAGACAAGTGAGGCGGCCTTGGACCTGGCTGGAGACAGGACCCCAACCTCAGAGAAGATGGATGAGGTACCACATTATGTCTGTCTGTCTCTGTCTGGGCTTGGTTTTGGTCTGTCTTGTGGCACCCTCTTTCCTCCCTGAGGGTAACTACGACACAGAAGCAACAGGGCTAGCACAGCCAAAACAACAGGTCAAAAATAAAAAGAATGTGCAGAAAGCATCAGGGGCCATGACTGAGCAGCTGGTTTGGCTCTGAGCTCCCTAGCAGCTTTGGCGAAAAGGGAAACTTGACCTAGATCTGTTGCTTTCCATGTTAGGTTATGGAAGTTGGGACTTTCCTGGGGGATAAAGTCTGAGTTGAGCTTCTTTGGTTGAAGTCTGCTGTGATCCCAGAGAGTGTGGACAAGTGATGGTTTTGGGTCCTCTCCTCTGTTGGGTGGCTAGGGCCTGGTCAAGACTAGTCCTGACAGTCAGTTTTGGGGAAAGGGAGCAGCCAGAGTGTTCTGCTGAGCTGCGTCAAGTGGGAGCTCTGGAGCTCTGTCTCCCAGTACCTGGTGCCCTCTGAAGAGAGGAACCATGTGGGGCAAGGAGGGCATTGAAATTTTCCTTCTCCCCTGGCTTCAAGAGTTTCAAGAGGAGAGCCACAGCCAGAAGCAGGCAAAGCTGACCACCGCGCCCCCCCCCCCCCCCCCCCCCCCCCCTCTGCCTACCCACAGATCTTCATCTGGAGTCTCTGTCCAAGCTCCATCCTCAGGGGTAGCGTGAGGGATGCTGCCTGCCACATTCTCTTGCGGGGAGATTAAGTCATCTTTCTTGGCTCTGTTCCTCCCCCTTCCTGGTCCAGGCATCTGCCCTGGCCCTCCTGGAGACCTGTTTTGGAACTTGTGAGCCTGAAAGGCATGAGCAGCCAGGAGCATAGAAGGAGCTCTGTGCCCCTGTGGGTGGTGGGGAGGAGGGTCCCTCCCTCCTTCCCAGGTCCTTTGATTAGGCCGATTTGGCTGCCTCAGGGAGGAACAGAGAGGAACTTGGCTTGCCTGGGAGGGGACTGCAGGTGGCCGGGGCTCCTGGGGGCCTCTGGGCCGATCTGGCAAGTGGTTTCTGGCGCTAAGGGGTTCAGACAGGGAGAGTTGACAGGTGTGCAGAGGTGGGGGTGCTGCTGGCTCTGCCATCCTCCTTTCTTCCCTAGGATAGGGGATGTTTGTTTACCATGCTCGCTTGCTGATCCAGGGCTAGGAAGCCCAGAGTAGCTGGAGGGAACGGGCTCTCCCACCGGGTCACTGGAGGAAAGGGGAGACTGAGGCCCAGAGAGCTGTGGTCCGGGAAGCCCGGGGACATTAGTCCAGGGAAGCCCGGGAGTACAGACTACCTCCAAGGTGGCCCTCGGGAGCCCCCTGCCGGCAGTCTGGAGAACGGCTCCCGGGCCCCTCCGGACCAAACCTAAAGGATTCCCAGCCTAGGCTGACCAGGCGGGAGAGCAGCGCGAGGGGGCACTCCCTATCTTCACAGAAGCTGGTGGTTAGAAATTCCGGTTCCAGGCCTTAAGCCTTGAGCCTCGAGTCCCACCTCTGTCACTTACTGGTTATGTGACCTTAGGGAAGTCACTTTCCCTCTCTGAGTCTCAGTTTCATCATCTGTGAAATGGTGGGATAGTGAGAGTATCTGCCTCATGCCGTCTCGGCTTAAGTGAGGTGCTGCACGAGAAATTCCAGGAACTGCTCGAACTGATGACCAACGCTCAGCAGCTAGTTCCCGCCGGTTCTTGCCCCCCCGCCCCCCCCCCCCCCCCCCCCCCCCCCCCCCCCCCCCCCCCNATGGGAGAGGCGGAGGGAGGGGCAGGGCCTCGAGCTGGAGCGCGGACCCAGGTCTCCTTGTGATTGGCTGGCAGCGGCCGGGGTTAACCCTCTGCGTGCTGCGCCTGCCTTGCTGGGCGCTGTCCAGGACTGATCTGGCGCTGTCCCTGAATATCAGGCTGCGAGCCTGCCAGTGCCTCCCTCTCAGCACGTATGTGGGACCCTGAGAGGCAGCGAGAGTGTGTGTGTCTGTACAGGGGACAGAGTAACAGCCCGAGCTTCCTTCTGCTGCCGGGGATTGAGTTTTCCTCTTCTCCCCGCCCCTCCATATCCCTTTGAACCCTCCCTGGCCTGTAGGTCTGACCTTTGACTTTCTAGCCTGCACGGATCCCTCACCTCCTCAACTTTCAAATGCACTCCCTGTCTCTGGCAACTGACAAAGGCCCTGTCTCCCCAGATGGCACCTGAGCCACCTTTTCGTCTCTGGTCCTGACACAGGAGCCTGGGGGCAGTCCATTCCTCCTCTCCCAACCCCTGTTCTGCCTTCTTGCTCCACCTCTACCCTGTGGACACCACGCCCTGCTCCAGTTCCAGGCCTGTGCACCCAGCTCCCCAAAGTCCCAGGTCTGAATGTAAAGAGGACCTTGCTATTTCGCAGCCAAGTCACACTTGGCTCCCCCATTGGCCTGGTGCCACGGTCCTGGATTCCCACGGCAGCCCCAACCCCTCACTCAGCAGGCACCCTGGGCTCCAATCTCAGCTTTGTTTCTGACCGCCTCTTGGGCCAGTGATTTACATGTGTCTCTCTGAGGGTGTTTTCTCACCTGTCAAGAGACAAATAACAAATAAAGCCCTTCCTCATGAGGTTATGGTGCAGATAAGAAACATGAGACATTGTGTGCTCACAACACTCAACCCCACCACAGCCTGTACAAAAACTATGTGAAAGGAATAATTAGGGGAAACATACAGACTTATCTCCTTTTCATGCACCCTGACTCCTGCTAAAGCTTCTCCCTCCCTTGCTTCTGTCACCTCTGCCAGGCCCTCTCTGCCACAGTGAAGACTGCAGGCCAGCTGGGAATAAAGGCTGGTGAGCCACTTCCTGGTTGGAATCCAGGCTCTGTCTCAGTGGCTGTGTAGCCTTGGGCAAGTTACTTAAGCTCTCAGTGTTCCAATTTTCTCATCAATAAAACTGGTGATAAACACCTACGTTGCCGGTTTTCTGAGGGTTAGCTGAATGAGCATACATAAAGTGCTTAGAAAGGTGCCTGCCAATAGGAAGGGCTGTGTGCTGTGATAAGTTGCTTCAGTCATGTCTGACGTTTTGCAGCCCCGTGGACTGTAGCCCTCTAGACTACTCTGTCCATGGATTCTCCCAGCAAGAATATTGGAGCAGGTTGCCATTTCCTCCTCCAGCAGGGAAGGGCTATAGTATCGAAGTGTTATTAACTTTTAGTATTATCTTCTCTGAATACAAATTGAAACAATCTTTCAAATTGAAACAGAATCTTTTTCCTCTTCATGCCTCACTGCCCCCTTCTCTGCTTTCTTTTTCTCCACAAAGGACTATGTATTTCACATTCATCCTAGTCAACCTTTGCCTTATCCCTCTAGAAGTTCAGTTCCAAGAGAACAAGTTTGTCTGACTTGTTCACCATCGTGTCCTCAGCACTTGGACAATACCTGGTATACAGCAGGTGCTGAGCAAATGTTTGTTGAATGAATGAATGAATGAAGCTTCATGATAACCCCATGAGGCAAGTACTATGATGCCCAACATGCAGATGGGGAGACTGAGGCTTAAAGGGGTTAAATGACTTGCTCAAGGCCACACGGCTGGAACAGGAAGGGACCAGGATCAGGACTGTGGAAGCCACGTTGCTCACTAGTCTTGCAGAAGGCTGCTTCTCTGACCTTCTGATGTTGGGAAGGGGAATCGGGGAGCCTGGCTTCTCGGCTCCCCCTCACTTCTCTCCCCTTGCTCTCCCTGCAGGGGCAACAGTCCTCAGGGGAGGACATGGAGATCTCAGATGACGAGATGCCCTCGGCCCCCATCACCAGCGCTGACTGCCCCAAGCCCATGGTGGTGACCCCAGGGGCCGGGGCCGTGGCAGCTCCCTCTGTGCTGGCCCCAACCTTGCCACTGCCCCCGCCCCCTGGCTTCCCACCACTGCCCATGACGGTGCCCCCACCACCCCTGCCAGCCCCACCGCCTGGTGTCCCACCCCCACCCATTCTGCCGCCACTGCCGCCCTTCCCACCAGGGCTGTTTCCTGTGATGCAGGTGGACATGAGCCACGTGCTGGGGGGCCAGTGGGGCAGCATGCCCATGTCCTTCCAGATGCAAACGCAGATGCTGAGCCGTCTGATGACGGGCCAGGGCGCTTGCCCCTACCCCCCCTTCATGGCTGCTGCAGCCGCAGCTGCCTCCGCTGGACTGCAGTTTGTCAACCTGCCGCCCTACCGGGGCCCCTTCTCCCTTGGTAGCACTGGCCCAGGCCGCGGGCAGCCCTGGCCACCCCTGCCCAAGTTTGACCCATCAGTGCCACCACCAGGCTATGTGCCCCGCCAGGAGGACCCACACAAGGCCACTGTGGATGGCGTCCTGCTGGTGGTGCTCAAAGAGCTCAAGGCCATCATGAAGCGGGACCTGAACCGCAAGATGGTGGAGGTGGTGGCCTTCAGGGCTTTCGATGAGTGGTGGGACAAGAAGGAACGGATGGCTAAGGTGAGTGGGCAGCATGTCCCCTTGGTGGGGGGCAGGCAGGCCAGAGGCAGAGACCTGGCCGGGCAGCCTCTGTCATCCCCAGGCACCTTAGCAGAAACACTACCACCCAGACCCCCAAACAGAATAGTGTGTGTTATTTTGTGAAACCGGTGTGTCAATGACACAAGTGTGTACTTACTATGTGTTTCTCTTGGATTCCAATCTCCAAAACTCCAGAGCCCCTGCCATGTGTGGGCGGCCATAGTAACAGCTTCTCAGATGAGGAAGCTGAGGGTCAGGGAAGCAGAGTATGGCGCTGGGGGCGTCCTGAGTAGTGACATGAAATGCAGTAGGTTCCAGAAAAGGAAGTGCCCAGTTTGGGCATGGCTGTCACTGTAGAAAGGATGGCAGGCTACTCGGGGGACAGGGTTGGTGGCTGTACTCTAACCACACTGACCTTCCCCTCCTCTCTTGCACCCCAGGCCTCACTGACCCCAGTGAAGTCGGGTGAGCACAAAGATGAGGATAGGCCGAAGCCCAAGGACCGCATCGCCTCCTGCCTGCTGGAGTCCTGGGGCAAGGGCGAGGGCCTGAGCTACGAGGGACTGGGCCTGGGCATCGGGCTGCGTGGGGCCATCCGCCTGCCCTCCTTCAAGGTCAAGAGGAAGGAACCTCCGGACACGGCCTCATCTGGTGACCAGAAGCGGTTGCGACCCTCCACCTCTGTGGATGAGGAGGATGAAGGTGGGGCCTTGCAGGGATCTGGGACCTCCTTGCCTGTGCGCCCCCACCCAGCCCTGACCGCCCTCCCTCCCCGCAGAGTCTGAGCGCGAGCGGGACCGGGACATGGCCGATGCCCCCTGTGAGCTCGCCAAGCGGGACCCCAAGGGCGTGGGTGTGCGGCGGCGGCCAGCCCGGCCCCTGGAGCTGGACAGCGGTGGGGAGGAGGACGAGAAGGAGTCACTGTCGGTGTCATCATCCTCATCAGCATCCTCGTCCTCGGGCTCCTCGACCACCTCACCCTCGTCCTCAGCCTCCGACAAGGAGGAGCGAGAAAGCACAGAGGAGGAGGGGGAGGGGGAGGAAGAGGGGGAGGAGGGCCCCAGGAGCCAGATCTCCTCCTCCTCAACCTCATCCATGTCAGATAAGGTATTGTTCGGGCTTGGGGAGGCCTGGGGAGCTGGGCCAGGCGAGGGAGCCCTTCGGCTCACCTGTCCAGCATCCTTCTCCCCTAGGATGATGATGATGAAGACAGCGACGACCGGGATGAGTCTGAGAATGATGACGAGGACACGGCCCTGTTAGAGGCGAGTGAGAAGGAAGAAGGGGACTCAGATGGAGGTGAGTGTGGCTTCTGACCCTGCCCAGGGTCCCTCTGCAGAAAGCAGAGCCTGCACAACAGTTAGCAGTACTGAAGGGGTAGGATCTCGTGACTATGAAGTGTGATGTCATTAAAACACAAACACAGCCTGCCGTATAATTCCTTTTTTATGAAATGTCCAGGATAGATCAGTCCACAGAGGTAGAGAATGAGATGGTTGGATGGCATCACCGACTCAATGGACATGAGTTTGAGCAGACTCCAGGAGATGGCAAAGGACAGGGAAGCCTGGTGTGCTGCAGTCCATGGGCTGAGCAACTGAACAGCGGTAGAGACAGAGAGCAGACTAGTGGTTGCCGGGGTCAGGTGATGAGGATAGAAGGGTGATAGCTGAAGGAAGCAGGCTGCTTCTTGAGCTTGTGAAAATCTTTTGGGACAAAATAGAAATGTCAGTTGTCCACATTGTGAAGGTGCTAAATACCACCGTGTCATCTACCCTAAGATGGTTAGCTTTATGTCATGTGGATTTCACCTCCGTTTAAAAAAACATGATGGTGAGTTAATACATACACACCCCTCCACCTACCCGAGGGCCACGTTCACCCCAGTGCCTCCTGTTTTGAGCCCTTTGGTGACGCCTCTGGCTGAGGCATAGCAGATAACAACAGGGCCCCTGATGTGTCCCCCGTGCAGAGGAGACGGTGAGCATCGCCACCTCTAAGCCTGGAGCTGAGTCCTCCAGTGAGAGTTCTGAGTCATCTGACTTCGCATCAAGCTCCGAGTCCTCTTCATCATCATCATCGGAAGATGAAGAAGAGCTGGCAGCTGGGGAGGAGGAAGAGGAGGAGGAGGAGGAAGGGGAGGCAGCTGCAGACGAGAGCACGGCTCCCGCTGCTCCTGACGAGGACTTTGAGAATGAAGTGGTCACAGGAGCACCCACAACGGAGTCACGGGGCCCAGAAGAGGAGGTGGACATTGAGGCTGAGGATGAGGCCCCTAAGGAGCGGACCCCAATGCTGGAAGAGCCCCCCTTGCCTGTGAGTGTCGGGGAGCTGACTGGCTGCAAGGAGCCCCCCGAGGAACCAGGCCTGAACCAGGAAGGGGCCAGGTTGCTGTCTCCAGAACCCCCTGCAGGAGAGATGGAGGCCCGGCCCCTGCCATCCCCAGAGCCCACCCCAGGTAACACTTGAAGCCCATGGGAAGGCGGTAGGAATAGAAACAAGATGTCTTTAACCATCAGAATGAACGAGGGCTCCCTTGTGCCATCACTTAAACTTACCAAATAATTTGCTTATCTGTAAAATGGGATCAATGGATGGTGCTTCCCCCATGAGGTCATATGGGAGGATGGAGTGAGGTGACTTGCCAGGAGAAGCTGGGCACCTGTTAGACCCCAAAGGGAGGTCTGCTCCTGTCACCATTCCTCACTCTATTTCCCTGGGGTCTAGTCCTTGGACTGCTAATCCCATGAGATTCTTCCAAAAGAGGAGGTGTGGATGTGTATGGTCTTTTAGTGATAGGCAGGCAGAGAAGGCCTCTGGGGCCCTGGGCACCTCTCACCAGAAGGGTGCTGGGTGGGTTAAAAAGGGCTGTGGGCACTGCCCCCTCCACCATCTTGGTGGAGCTGCACAAAGCACGTGAAAGGCTCTGGCAGTGCTGTCCAAGAGAACTTTGTACAGTGATCAGCATGTTCTCTGTGCCCTGTCCAGCCCCAAAGCCACTAGACACAGCGTCGCCTAGAGCTTGAGAAAGGGGGAGAGTGTCGCTGTGGGACAGAATTTGTAATGTTGATTAATTTTAGTTAATATAAACTACTTTAGCCACATATGGTTAGTATGTACCTCTAATAGTCCTTAAGGAGAGCAACCTTTTGTTTTTTATTTGGCTCTAGAACCACGGGTCTTTGCAAATTGTTAAATGTATTTATAAAGCCCCTATTTTTGTCTCCTTTATGGTTTTAGAAACTGATAAAACAACAGTGGACCAAAACGGGCAAAAATATCTGCCCTCCTGGAGCTTACACTCAGGGCAGGTTGATAGATAACAGCCGATAAGTTAGAAAATATATTAGGTGACAGTAGAGAGAAGTGCTAGGAGAAAACCTTAAAGGCTCTGACAAGTCATGCAGAAGAGGGACTTGTTTAATTTTATTCAGTAGCAGAGCTCATTTTCTTGGTCCACGGGATGTTCCTTGCTCACCGGAACACCATTCTAAAGACAGTGTCAAGGGCGCCAGCCATGTCTTCTGCATTTTTTATTTACTCCCACCAACATTTCTCAAACCCTGCTGTGTATCTGGGAATCCACAGGGTGCGAGTGCATACCTAAAGGGTGCCCAAGGCACAGCAGGGTGCATGAGGAGGGCTCCAAGGGCCATTTGAGTCAATAACTAAGGTCTGCTTTCTGCCCACCACTCTGCAGAGGACAACCTGGAGGCGGAGCCTGAGCCCCCAGCGCTGCTCTCTTTACCGCTGCAGCCACCATTGCCGCCACCTCGACCGCCCCGGCCACCCAGCCCACCACCAGAGCCCGAGACCCCAGACCTCCCCCTCCCACCCGTCCCTCTGGAGCCTACCCCCCATGAGGACCAGCCTCCACGTACTCCGAGCCTCTGTGGCAGCCTGGGCAAGTCCCAGAGTGCAGAGGCGGTGCCGGCTACGCCGAGCGGGGAGCCTTTGCCGACGGTGGGCAGCGGCAGCCTGGCCCTGAGCTCCCCGCAGCTGCCCGGCAGCCCCTTCTCCTACCCATCCCCATCCCCCAGCTTGAGCAGCGGGGGCCTCCCAAGGACACCTGGCCGGGACTTTAGCTTCACGCCCACCTTCCCCGAGCCTGGGGGGCCCCTACTTCTGCCCGTCTGCCCCCTCCCAGCTGGCCGGCGTGACGATCGGTCTGGCCCCTTGGCCTCCCCGGTGCTCCTGGAAACAGGCCTGCCGCTTCCTCTGCCCTTGCCCTTGCCCCTGCCCCTGGCGTTGCCCGTACCCGTCCTGCGGGCTCAGTCGCGGGCCCCCACCCAGCTGCCACCTCTGCTGCCTGCCCCTCTGGCCCCCTGCCCACCCCCCATCAAGAGGAAGCCGGGCCGGCCCCGGCGATCCCCGCCAGCTGTGCTCACCTTGGATGGGCCTTTGGTCCGACCGCCAGGAGGGGCCACCCTGGGCAGGGACCTACTGCTTCTGCCAGGCCAGCCACAGACCCCTGTCTTCCCCAGCACCCATGATCCCCGGACCGTGACCCTGGACTTCCGGAACGCGGGGATCCCAGCCCCCCCACCACCCACACCTGTTGAGCCCACCAAACTGCCCTTTAAGGAGCTAGAGAACCAGTGGCCCTCTGAGGCCATCCCTCCAGGTCCCCGTGGGCGTGATGAGATCTCCGACGAGTTTATGAACCTGGCCAAGGTGCGGGGGTCCTGGCGCCGGCCACCAAAGAAGCGCCACGAGGACCTGGTGGTCTCAGCTTCGCCCGAGCTCTCGCCACCGCAGCCTCTCTTCCGGCCCCGCTCAGAGTTTGAGGAGATGACCATCCTCTATGACATCTGGAATGGTGGCATTGACGAGGAGGACATCCGCTTCCTGTGTGTTACCTACGAGCGGCTGCTGCAGCAGGACAATGGCATGGACTGGCTCAACGACACGCTCTGGGTCTACCATCCCTATATCCTGCCAGGTGGGGCGGGGGCCACACCGCCCAGGACACGGGTCTGCCCCTACCTCTCTAGGCGGCATCTCCTAGGCGGGTGTGTATCATTACCATTTGTGGATGGTGTCTGTGTGCTGGCACCAAACCAGGCCCTGTATGGAGTCATCTCTGCCTTGTGTGCCGGAATTAAGAGGTCTCGGGGCCAAACGTAACAATGTGATTGTACAACATAACAGAAGCGGGGGCTGACAGAGGGCTCACTCTTCCTGGCTTCCCCTCATCAGCTAATTTAATCTTCCCAACAGCCTAGGGAGGTGGGGGCTATTATTATTCCCATTTTATATATGAAGAAACTGGAATTCAGAGAGGTTAAGTTACCTTCCCAAAGTCACACAGCTATAAAATAACTGAGTGGAGATTTGAACCCAGTCTAATCTGGCTCCAGAATCTGAGCCGTGAGCTAATCTGAGCATGTGCGCTAATCGCAATGCCCCTATAGTCAGTTGCTAGCACATCCCAATGAAGTTGGTGCTATCTTTATCCCTGCTGTACCAAACTAGTATACTGAACATTTACTCTGTGTCAGGAACTCTGCTAAGCATCTGTAATCATTCCAGGGGGCATTGTAATTATCCCAATTTGCATATGGGGAAACTGAGGCAGAAGGTGGATAAGAAACACTCAGGACCATGCAGCTAGGTACCTGAAAGAGTTCTGACCACAGTGGTGTTGGGCAGTGGGCAGCTTCAAGGAGGTGTCCTAGGTGTGGGTTGTGGAGCTGGGTGTCATCAGCGTCTTGGAGATGGGTCTGAGGGTGAGACCAGGCCTGGTAGGATGGGGCTCTCCAAGAATGTCCATGTGGCCCTTGACCCACACCCACCCACCAGCCTCTCTTCAGCTAAGAAGAAGAAACGGGACGATGGCATCCGGGAGCACGTGACGGGCTGTGCCCGCAGCGAGGGCTTCTATACCATTGACAAGAAGGACAAGCTCAGATACCTCAACAGCAGTCGTGCCAGCACCGATGAGCCCCCCACAGACACCCAGGTAGGGCCATCAGGTGCCCGCCCACCCAGGAGCCTCCCAGGCTGGGCAGTGGGTGTGGGCCCTCCCAGAAGGGGCTCCAGGCAGCTAGAGCAGTTGTGGAAGCAGAGGGGCTGGCTCACGGTGCCACTCCCCTGGGTGCTCAGGTGTGAGAGGTGAGGTGAGGTGAGCGGCGGGCAGGGGAGAGACTGAAGGGTCTTCATCAGGGATGCAAACAGTGTTGAGTTGCATCTTCAGAAATTACCTTCATCTTTTTTTTTTTTTTAATCTTTTTTTAAATTTAGCAAATAAATTGGGTAGGTTGGGCATGGGGGGCTGTGTGGGGAAAAGTGGATTCCTTTGAAAGACTTAGCAGGATCATTAGAACATTAGAAAGTCTAATGGATGGGACTGGGGGCTGACTGGAGGCAGAATGGCATGACGCTGCTGGGTCCGGCCTGGGTCACTGGGTAACTGGATGCCAAGCACAGAGGTGAGAGGGAAAGTGGGACCATCATGTTGGGACAGCTTCAGTTCTGGGGTTTGTGGAACATCCAGGTAGTGAGGTCTGGTAGACAGTTAGATGTATGGGTATAGTATAGAACCTGGGAGGGGGACTTCCAGTCTGAGGATTTAAATTTAGGCATCGTCAGGATGGAAGCGTTAACCAGAGCTCATAGCAGGGATGAGCTGACCCAGGGAGAGCGCCTGGAGGGGAATGAAACTTCAAGTATTCATGGCGGGGACAGGACCAAGAAAGCCAAGAGAGGGAGGGGATGCAAGGGTGTTGGGAGGAGTTGTGATTTCAAATGAAGCCACGGGTTATTAGGGTAGGTAAATACTCACCATCTTTACTTTAAAAAAAAAAGTGTTCATTTATTTATTATGTTTGGCTGTGCTGGGTCCTTGTTGCTATGAAGGCTTTTCTGTAGTTGTGGTGAGCAGGGTGAGCTCTCTAGCTGTATGCTCAGGCTTCTCATTGCGGTGGCGTCTTGTTGCAGAGCACAGGCTCTAGGGTGTGTGGGCTTCAGTAGTTGTGGCACATGAGCTCAGTAGTTGCGGGTCCTGGGCTCAGGCTCGGGAGCTGTGGCACAAGGGCTTAGTTGCTCAATAGCATGTGTGGTTGGACTGTGTCCCCTGCATTAGCAGGCGAACTCTTTACCACTGAGCCACCGGGGAAGTCCCTGATCGCCATCGTCTGTTCAAGAAGCGGACATGCTTCAAATCTCTAATTGAGAAGAGGAAAGATGACCGGAGTGAAGCGGATGCTGTTTTGTTACATTTAAGATTAGAGGAACTTGAGCATGTTCAGATTCTGACAGGAAGGACCCAGGTGGAGGAGAGGTCATGATTAGGACAGGACAGGCATAGGTGCGCCCAGAGCAAGGAAGCTGGGGCCACAGAGCTTAGGGTAGGCTCGCCAAGGACAGCGTGGGGACACAGGTACCGTGGTCTGTGAGGCCAGGTCCCCCAGGCGGCCGGGCTCCTCTTTGATCTGTCACCTGCCGCCGCACACTCACAGGGCATGAGCATTCCCGCGCAGCCGCACGCCTCCACACGGGCAGGCTCGGAGAGGCGATCCGAGCAGCGGCGCCTGTTGTCCTCCTTCACTGGCAGTTGTGACAGCGACCTGCTCAAGTTCAACCAGCTCAAGGTGAGGCCGGACCCCACCTGGGGCGGCTGGGGTAGCCTTGGGACCGGAGGCCATGACTCTTACCCCTATCTCCGTCCCTCCCCTAGTTCCGGAAGAAAAAGCTCAAATTTTGCAAGAGTCACATTCACGACTGGGGCCTGTTCGCCATGGAGCCCATCGCGGCCGACGAGATGGTCATCGAGTACGTGGGCCAGAACATCCGCCAGGTAAGCACTGCAGGGCAGGACAGGTGTGGGGGCGGGGCCGCGGCTAGCCCCGCCCCACCCAGACTGAGTCCTCTTCCTGGCCAGGTGATCGCTGACATGCGGGAGAAACGTTATGAGGACGAGGGTATCGGTAGCAGCTACATGTTCCGGGTGGACCACGACACCATCATCGACGCCACCAAGTGCGGCAACTTCGCACGTTTCATCAACCACAGCTGCAATGTGAGTGCGCGGCTCAGGGCCACGCCCCTGGGGGCGAGCGGGGAGGACCTGGAAGCCGCTGGCACAGGAACCAGCGTGGCCTCCTTCCCAAACATGGGGCCCATGACTGGGGCCTTGGGAGGGGGAGGTGGTGTAAGAGGCCTTTTCTGAGGAGCCCTTCTCTGATCTTCAGTTTTCCCATCTGTCAAATGGCCCCAGTGAGACCAGAGATGTTCCTGACACGGTCCATACGGTTGATAATTGCAGAGTTCCTTCTCCCTGCTGAGTTTTTCTGATGCCTCTGGGGTTAGTGCTGGCTAGTCGAAGTTTCTACGGTGAAGGAAGTTCTCTGCATCTTTGCTGTCCACTCCTGTACACATGTGGTACTGAGCACTAGAAATGTGGCCAGTGTGTCTGAGAAACTGAGTCTTAAATTAACTTAAAGAGACACAGGGCTAGTAACAGCTGACATGGCATGAATCTGGGGTTTTGGGGTGGACATGGATATCAAGGTTGGTCCTCTCATGGAGACGAGCACAGGGAGCTTCAGATGGGAGGTCAGGTACTGCTGACTTTGGGTTTAAGTCTTGGCATTGCCACTTAGTGAGTGACCATAGACAGGTTGCTTAATGTCTTGCTACTTCAGTTTCCCAAGCTATAAAACCGGAATGATAATCATCCCTTCTCTTAGGTTGTTGGGAGGACCAAGAGGGTTGCTGAGCACAGGCCTGTGCAGACACAGTGGGCGCTCAGTACACGCCAGCTCACAGCATGGTGACTTGGTCATTCCCTGGGGCCGGTGGGGACTTCTCTGAGAGTCTCCTGTGAAAGCCTGAGGGATGAGAGGGAATTACCCAGGTGCAGGAGTGAGTGAAGAGAAGCCTGGGTCAGGGAGGGAGGGAGAAGAGGCAGAGAATGGGAGGTTGGCAGGGTGACTGGTGGCTGAGTCACTCAGCCTTGTAGGTAGAGCTGAGAACTTTCTCTAAAAGCTGAGGCAGGCTACTGACCGGGGGTGACAGGATTTGCTGTCCCTTTGGAAAGACTTCCTGGCAGTTGGGGCAGGAGTGGAGTTATTCAGAGCAGAGACAGGCAGCGGGGACTCACTGGAGTCCAGGCCCTTGGTGGCAGAAGTGAGAGGCCCTGTAGATGGAACCCGCTGAGTGTGGTAGGTCGGATCCAGCGCTGCTGGAGGGGAGGCGAGGCAGGGGAGAAATGCTTGGGAAATGTGTGCCAATAAAACTTTATTTGCAAGAGCAGGCAGCTGGGGGCCAGAGTTTGTTGATCCCTTCTCTAGAGCTCTGAAGTAGGGCCTGGGCTGGAAATATAAATTTGGGGTCACCTACGGTATAAAAGATAATTGAATATTTCCCTAGGAAATAATTCATTATTATTACAATCATCATTCTCATTTAACATCAGAAGCTAGGGGTCCTTCTCTGCCTGACGGGGGAGCCGAGGCCGAGAACAGGTGACCAGTGGGCATTGGGGTTGTGGGGCCAGGGCGTCAGGCCTTGAGCACAGGGTTCGGTTGAGTTTCGGGGAATGCAGTCCGCTAGGGCCCGGTTGAGGGCCCAGGTAGGTCAGCTCACCTCTCCCACTTCTGTCCCGCCCACAGCCCAACTGCTATGCCAAGGTGATCACAGTGGAGTCGCAGAAAAAGATCGTCATCTATTCCAAGCAGCACATCAACGTCAATGAAGAGATCACCTATGACTACAAGTTCCCCATTGAGGACGTCAAGATCCCCTGCCTCTGTGGCTCTGAGAACTGCCGGGGGACCCTCAACTAGGCCGGCACCCGGGGTTGTCAGCCACCCCGGCTCCCAAGCGTGGACCCTGGCTCTCTGGGGCCGGGTCCCACCTCCCACCCCCATTTCAGGTGCTGTCCCTCTGCCCAGTGGCCGTGCCAGGGCCTGGCGCCCCCAACACTACCCCCAGGTCCCATCGCAGCTCCGGCCCCTCAGTGGGAAAGGGCTTCTTTGTCTCAGCCCGTGTCTCCTTCATTCTTTTTTTTTAAATGCTCCTTTTGGGACTTTGGTTTAACTCCGGTGTAAATGTCTTCCCCCACCTTTTCCCCGTCATCCGCCTCTTTCCTTCTGTGTTTTCTCGTCCTGTCCTGCCCCGTCAGCCTCTTCCCATGAATGCTGCTATGTTGTTCTGTCTTCTTTTCTTTTCTTCCTCTTCACAAGAAAAGACATTTTAACCATTGAAATGTGAAAGCAGAATCAGAGAGTGGGGTCCCCCGGCGGGGGCTGCAGAGCCTCAGTTTGATGTGCGTCGGCCCAGGCCCACGTTCTGGAACCCTCCAGGCCCGGGCGCTAGGCCAGGTGCTGCAGAGGAGGGGGTCAGGCCAGGCGGCTTTGACCTCAGAACACTACGGAAGGCCCCCTCTCTGCTGGCGGACTCAGTGAGAAGACCCCCCCTCTTTCCCATCCCCTCCTCAGTCTGTTCCTTCCCCATCAGTCTGGGGGTGCCCCCCCCAACGCCCTCCAGCAGACCGTGGTGGAGCCAAGCTGGCCCCAGGAAGGAGTTTCCCCTCCGGGGCTCTCCGTGCGGCCCCACACCCGCCATCCCCCAAATCTTGGGTTCAATGTTTACTTTCTCATTCGAATGCCAGCAACGAGGGAGCCTCCAGGAGGTCCCAGTGTGGGCAGGGGGTGCTGGAAGGGGGTGTTTACTCTCTCCGGCCCTCACCTTCACCCAGGGAGAGAGATACACCTCCCAGGGAAGGCGGGTCCCCCAGTCCCGCCACTACGGGTGTCTGACCGAATGCGTGTGGCATTTTTTTTTAATTTGCTTATAAGCTTCACCTGCTCACCCCCAGCCCATAGAGCCTGACTCACCCTGCCAGCAAGCCCTCACCCCAGGAAGTCAAGAGCATATTTATTTTCGGAGTGAGAAGATGCATTTCTCCCAGAGAAAGGAAAATCTTGGAAAAGATTTAAAAACTCACAACTAAGTCTGACAGGTTTTTTTTTTAACCCTTTACATCATCCTCTTCCAAGTTCCTTTCCATGAATTTTTTTTTTTCTTGTGCGTGTATAAAATCAAAACGAAGGGAAAAAAAATAGGTTTTTGAAGTTCAGAACCGACTTCTGTACATAGGCTGCCATAAAGGACTTTTTCTCGGGAACATTGTTTCTTGTAGAAACACGTGGGAAGACTTTTTTGCTTATTTCTTTGTACTTCCAAAAAAAACCACACACACACACACACAAAGCAAGTCCCCCGCACCCCAGAAAGCAAAGCAGGCGTGTAAATAATTTATGGAAAGTGACTGCTGTGACCAAGAGTCATCCTCAGCAAGACGGGAGCGCTCCCGCTGGGGCTGCGCCACCCTGCGGATGCAGGCCCGGAGCCTCTGGTATCTCAGCTTGTGTCAAGCTTGTTATCATGTAAATTCTGTACAAAGAATTGTTATTTTTTTCTCTCTCTTTTTTTTGGTCGTTGGTGGTTTTGTTGCGTTTTTCTTTTTCTTTTTTTTCTAATTTCTTCACCCCAATGCCTCTCTGTTTGAGACTGTGCCCACTGGTTTCAAGGTCAATGAAATCGGTGGCATGAAGACACAGAGGGGGACCTGGGTACAGCGGCAACCTTCTCTTCCTTTTGCGGTTTTCTGCCTCATTGTGCAACTGAGGAAATATTTATTTTTCACATGAGGAAATGTGTAGTTTGTAGAGATGGCTGATTTAAGTTACTTCTGCAGTCCCCAAGGGGCTGGCTTCAGTCTATCCCTTCCTCCCATAAAAGAAGTGGAGGTAGGGGGTGTGAGGAAACCAGGGTCCGGGGTCCTGCCTCACCCCTCACCCTGGCCTCACCTTGCCCAACCAGCCTTCCCTAAGGGCAAGTAAGGGCCTGGGCCCTCCCTGTCCGCAGGAACCCCTGTCCCATCCCTGAAATGGCTTGTGATAGCCAGAAATGTGTCAAGTCATTTTTCTTTCAATGCCTTCATTCTTACTGAACAAACTTGCTTTTCAAGAGTTGGGGGTTTCTGCTTTTTCTTTTTCTTGTCCCTCCCTCCCTCCTTTCTCCAGCCAAGAAGAGAATCCATAAGTTTTAGGGATGTTTGTGCATATAGACTCTCATCGTATGTAACTTGTTTTGAAGAGAAGTGTTTCCGTTGTGGGTGTGTCTTGCTGTAAATATTTGTTCATATTTTTGTGAATTCAATACTATGTACCATTGTATTATAGTAACTTTTATAAAGCAAACCATAAATATACTGACTTTTCTTACAGATACGCCGTCTCTCTTGCTCTCCTCTCTACCTCTCCTCCTCATTTCTTTCTGTAGGGGGCATACCATGCTTTAAAGGAATGGGTGCTTACTGGGCTGGGGGTTGGAGTTTGATCCCTGGCCCGGGGAACCAAAGTCTTCATGTTACAACTAAGAGTCCATGTGCCAAAACTAACACCCAGCATGAAAGTCGCTTGGTCATGTCCAACTCTTTGTGACCCCGTGGTCCATGGAATTCTCCAGGCCAGAATACTGGAGTGGGTAGCCTTTCCCTTCTCCAGGGGATCTTCCCAAGCATATACCCCCAAAACAACTTCCTTAAAAAAAGAATAAATGTTATGATAAAGAAAAAATAGCTATGAGGAGAGGGTTTCAGGGGGAAGGAGATGAAATTTTCTTTCTTTTTTTTGAGATTAAATTTTAAATAGGATGGTCAGGGAAGCCCACTTACCTGACATGTGAACAAAGCAGAAAGGAGATCAGGGAGTCAGCTCTGTGGAGATCTGGGGGAAAGGTGTTTGAGGCAGAAGGAACAGTGAGTGCAACGGTCCTGTGGCAGGAGCCTGCCTGGTATATTTGAGGACCAGCAAGGAGGCTTGTATAGCTGCAGCTGAGTGACAGGAAGGGTGAGGCAAGGAAATGAGGTCTGAAAGGTACCTCATGGGGGAGGCAGATGCTGTAAGACCTTGCAGGGCAGCGCAGGAACACGCCAGGGTGTCCAGTTCAAGGCTCAACAAAAGACACTTCCAGATCTCAGTTTCCTTCATGATCCCTCTCCAACCTGCTGCTGTGTTTTCCACCTTGATCAATGTCACTTCTATTCCATGCCTCCACCCACCCACCACTGCTGCCGCTGGTTACCTAAGCTCAAAGGCTGGAAATCCTAGACTTTTTTTCCCTTGGCTCCCAAGGCTGATGGTTCTTCTTCTACCCTATTCTTCAGATTCATCCACCCCTCCCTCTTGCCCCTTAGTCCCACAGGCAGAGTCCTCTCCACTTCATCTGCTGTGGGGGCCAAAAACGGAGTCTCAACTCCATACATCTGCATGCACAGGGCACGTGGGGCTGTGCTAGAGAGGAAGGAAGCGCCAGGTAGACTAGGGCGAGAGCCCCGCACCCAGACCCCTCTCTAAAAATTACAAGAGCAGGCACATAGCACTGGTGCTGTGCCAGCCACAGTTTGAAACATCTTCGACATTAAACTCACAGTAGTGCAAGGGCTAGGAGGTAAGTATTGTCCTCATTTAACAAGTGAGGGAAACTGAGGCACTGAGGGATCAAGTAGCTTGCCCAAGTTCACGTAGCTAGCAAGCACCTGATATAGGTGTGAACCCAGGTAGTCAGGCTCCCCTAGTCTATGCTCAGTTCCTGTGGGTCTGCTCTGCCAACACCCCATCTAAAGAGGCAACAACTGCTTTGCACCAGCTGATTGTTGCTGCATAAGAAGGCAAGTTCAGAACGGCCTGACTGGATTTCACTGATGAAACAGTGAATAAGAATCCACCTACCCACCTGAAACTATCACATTATTTGTTAATTGGTCTTATTCCAATACAAAATAAAAAGTTTTAAAAACTTCAACTTAATTGGATTTTTTCAAATGGATAAATACAACTGTATTAAAAAATCTGCCTGCCAATGCAGGGCACATAGATTCCATCCCTGGCTCAAGAAGATTCTACCCGCCTCAGAGCAATTGAGCTCATGCACTGCATTACTGAATCCAAGTGCTGCAACTACTGAACACCTATAGCCTGCGCTCCGCAACAAGAGAAGCCACCAAAATGAGCCCACCCACTGCAACGAAGAGTAGTCCCTGCTTGCTGCAACTAGAGAAAACCCTCACAAAGTAACAAAGACCCAGTACAGTAAAAAAAAAAAAAAAAGAAAAAAAACCTGCCTGGTTGTTCCAAGTAGAACCAGAATCCTAGAATTTGTATGTAAAATATCCCGAACTTCTGAAATGTTGACTTGAATTTGTTGAAACCAGGCAGATGAAATAAAATACATCTGTGAGCCAGCTTTGGCCCATGAGCCACCAGTTGGCAACCTCCTGTGTCACAGAATTTTCCTTCTTTGCATAAACCATGGGAAAACAGGGGGAGGGTATTTTTAACCAGCAGCACGGGCCTGGCACCTGCCATTGTTCCTCAGGTTTCTCACTGCTGTTCTTTTCATTTCTGAATTCATAATCCTAGAAGCCCGATTTTCTATAACTTGACCCCCCCCCCAAAATGTCATCCCAACTCCTTCATTATTACCAACTCCAATTTTTTTTCTTACACTGGGCTTATAATTTTGATCTGACTCCTCCTCAGGGAGGGCTGTCAAGCATCAGAAGCAGAAGAGATCCTATTTGCCCCCATCTCCTCTTCTCTGGTTTTGAAGAAAAATTTCCTTCCAAGTGTTTTAGGACCAGTAGCTCCTTTCCCAACTGTATCATTACTTTGCAAGGGCTATTCATTCATACTTGAGTATGAACCAGGCTCTTTCCAAATGGAACCCACACCAGGAGCAGGGCTCCGGGGAATCGGATTGGGGGCACTAGGGTCTGCCTTGATGAGTGTGTGCTCAGTTGCTGTGTTGTGTCTGACTCTTTGAGATCCCATGGACTGTAGCCCACCAGGCTTCTCTGTCCATGGGATTTTCCTGGCAAGAATACTGGAGTGGGTTGCCATTTCCTCTTCTAGGGGATCCTCCTGACCCAGGGATCAGACCCTCCTCTCTTGCATCAGCAGGTGGATTCTTTGTCACTGAGGATAGAGGGCAGAAGCTGAAGGGCTCAGACCCCTTCTACCAGCTCTCACATCAGGAACCAAGTCCAGTGGTTAAGCAAGTATGATGCCCCCAAGTCCTTTGGCTAACACCTCTCTGTCCAGAAGTTTGGGCTCAGGGCAGCAAATTTGAGGACAGTTCATCCTTACAGATCATAACGCCATCGGACAGGATGCTGCCAAGCTATGTCGAACCTTAGGGCCTTTACCCTTGCTGTACCTTTCTCCTAGGATGCTCTTTCCCCAGATTTTCCCATGGCTGCTTCCCAAATATCACCTCCCAGAGAGCCCTTCCCTCGATCGAAATTGGCGCTCCCTCCGACCCTTACCTCTACACAAGTTCATCACTTGCTTTATTTTCTTAATAGCACTTACCACAAAAAGATATTGTCTGTGTTTTCCTTTAGAGTGTAAGCCCTCTTCACCCATTGGTTCCATAACTCCCCTCCGACCTACTTGGTCCTACTTAGCACACGGTTGCACCAGGAGCCTCCTAAGCTTCCCCAGCCTCCTTCCCAACTCGTAAAGCAGACGCCTCCTACAGCGCTGCCGCCTTGAGCTCCCCCTGGCGGCCAAAGGGCGTCAGTGCTCCAGCCCGACACAAACGCGTGGACACTGCCTTGGACTCTGCTTTTCTTTATACCCGAGGGCAGGAGAGGTAGAGGCCCAAACGAGGGGGCGTGATAAGTAGTGGGCGGAGCCTTGAGTGTGTGTGGGAGGGGGTCCCGGAGTCGGGTGGTGGGCGGGGCCTAAAGGGCGTGGTCGGTAAGGAGGGCTCACTTCAGCTCCAGTGGAGTGGGCGAGTCACAGGGTGAGGGGGCGTGGTCCACCGTGCGCCCCGCCCCCGAAGGTGGGTGGGGCCTCGGTGGCTCTTGCGGGACCTGCTGTGCCTACATGCTGGACACAACCCCGTTGGGCTCCGTGTCGGTGAGGTTGCCTCGCAGGTCCTGCTCCTCCTCGAAGGCCTTGAACAGTGAGTTGAAGTTACCGGCTCCAAAACCCTGGGGCGGGATAAAAGAGATGAGCTGCGGAGCCCAGAGAGCCACGCGCCGATGACAGGCCGTCCTTAGTGGTACCTGGTGATTGTGGCGCTGAATAACTTCCAGGAAGAGCGTGGGCCGGTCCTGCATGGGTTTGGTGAAAATCTGCAGGAGGTAGCCTTTCTCGTCGTAGTCCACCAGGATCTTCAGCTCCTAGGTAGGGGGCAGGGGACTAGGTAAGGGGCAGGCTGGCTCGCCCCCCTAGCCTGAAATGGTGGGATCCTTAGAAAGGCCATGGGGGTTCCTGCACCCCCAAAGCCAAGAAAAGACCATTTTCTGCAGCAATTCCAGACACTTCCGAATAGATTCCCCCAATTGTCCTCTTAGCACCTCCCCACTTCAGACTGTGTGTCAGCCACCTAAGGCTGGTGTGGACCACCCAAGTACCACCCACACAGCTCTTCGGTACTTCTGCTTTTGTCTCCTTACAATCCATCTTCCACACAGACAGAGAGATCTTTTAGAAATCAGATCATCTCATTCCCCTGTTTCCATTCTCCAGTAGAAACTAGAACTCTCCTCTGTGGCTGCTGGGAATGTAAAATGGTACAGCTGCTGTGGAAAACAGTCTGAGAGTTCTTCCGAAAGTTAATAGTCGAGTTACCATATGACCCAGCAGTTTCACTCCTGGGTATCTACCCAAGAGAATTAAAACTCGTCCACACAAAAACTCATACCCAAAGGATCATAGCAACATTATTCCTAGGAGCTAAAAAGTAGAAACAAATATCTGTCAATGAATGAATGGATAAGCAAAATGTGGTCTCTTCATCCAATGGAATATTATTCAGTTTTATAAAAAGGAACACAGTACTGACACAGGTGTCCTGGATGAACCTTGAAAACTTTATGCTGAGTGAAAGAAGTCAGTCACTAAAGATTACATATTATATGATTCTATTTATATACTTGTTTAGAAAAAAGCAACTCCATAGAGACAGAAATCAGTGATTGCCTAGGGCTAGGGGTGAGGAGAGAAGGTAGACAGAGAGATTGGGAGGTGGTGGCTAAGAAGTCTGAGGTCTCTTTTGAAAGTGATGAAAATGTTCCAAAATTGATTTTGATGATTGCTGCATAATATAGTGAATAGCCAAAAACCACTGAATTGTGTTTTTTTTTTAAATGACATGTTCTGTGACTTGTATATCAATAAAGTTGTTAAAAATAAAGCCAAGAAAACCTCCAAAAAAA